CGCCCCGCAGGTCGCCCCGCAGTCGATAAAATTATCTCCGCAGAAACGTCCGCCACTTGCTTATATCTGACATTTGGATCCCGGGGCTGGGTCCGGGGCGGTCGCCCAGCAGGTCGCCCGGCCCAACCTTGGATTTTGGGCTTCGAATTTCTGTGGCAAGTTCCATATTTTGTGCTGAACATTTTTCTCTTCTGGAGCTATGGACGAAATTGAGCTTAAATATCTCAAATATTTTATTTTCTTTCAAGTTTTTATCCTGTTTGAACGAGTTTCTGTTAGAAAATTCTAAATTTGTTTTGAACACACCCTTTTTATAAACAAAATGACATTTTGAGAAATTTAGAAAAGAAAATAAATATTTTTACCTTAATTAAATTTATTTACATACAAAAAAACGTTTAAATATAAGAAAAATAATAAGTACAAAATGTACTTATCAAATTCCTCACACTTAAACGTTGCTTGCCCTCAAGCAACAAACTGAATAACTAAAAGAACAAGGACAATTTAACACATTTACGAAAAATATTTACACAATCTATTTGTAGGAACAAGATATTGGACAGTCATCAACTTAATTTTCTAAAAAGAAGTTGAACCCATATTGTTAGGAAATAAAAATTTTGTCAAACTTAAATTTTTATACAAATTTAATCAAACTTGGTTTGCATGATCAAAATTTAGGAATATTGGTGTTATCAAAATCATGTTCTCTAAATTTTAAATAACAATTTATTTAGTTACTTGAATATTTTACAAGGTCAAAGAATCTTTAATGATTGAATTAGAAAATTGTTTCTTGAAACTTTTTTGATAACATCACCTTGTTATGTTGACACGAGCATAAACCTTGATCCACATCTCATGACATAGAACCACGAGCTTTTTGGATTTTTATTCACTCAAAAACCTCATCACACGACATGGAACCGCATGCTTTTTGGCACTCACTTTAATATAAGTCTCATCATCTGACATAGAACCAAATGTTTTTTGACTTTAAACTCACTCCAGAACTCGTTCTCACCAAGGTGTGTTTTGAAAAAAAATGTTTTGAGAAAGAATTTTTAAAGAAACAATAAGTGCTCATATTTTGAAAAATAGCGGAGCAGTATCTTAAGAGATTTCTAATAAAAAAATTAAAAATTATTTGACCTTACGAAATATTTTTGTACAGAATAAATATGTACTGAAAAATTAGAGAGCATGATTTTAAAACAATTGTTAGACCAAATTTTGTCAATTTGTACCAAAAATTTTCAAAAATTTGCACAAAAATTTAAGTTTTGAAAAAAATTTAAATTTTCTTATTTTTAGGGTAAAAGAATTTTTCTTAGAAAACTAAAATTGATGACTGTCTATATAATTTTCCTACAAATATAAAGATAAATTATATTTCAAAAAAAGTGATTCAACCATAACTCTCTCCTCCTCACACTTAAACGTAACCGCGCCCTCGCGGGTTTTAAAGTGATCAGAAATTAGAGTTATGGTGGAAGAACTTGCATGCAAATACTAAGTTGTCCTCACACTTAAAGATAAAAAATATGATGATGTAAATAAAAGTAATAAAAATAGTTTACCAAAGGTGTGTTCAAAACAAACTGAAGTTCCAACCATTCCTGAGTCAAACAAACAAAACAGAAGAAACATATTAGTGCAGAGGAATAGCTCATTGCCCACGTCCTCCTCCTTGCCCGCGACCGCGCCCTCTCTGGCGAGTGGTGCTAGGGACTCCTTGCTGTGCCTCCACGTAGTCCAAGATATGGGCAATTTGCGTACCCTGCTCCGCAAGGCTAGTCTCAATGCGCTGCTGATGATCATGAATTTCCTTCCAGCAAGCCTCCTGACGTTGCTCAAAGGCGGTCCACCGCTGCTCATAAAGCTGGAAGCGTGAAAAAATCGATGTCCGGAGATCACCAAAAGCAGTGGTTAGCTCCTCAAATGTAGTAGGCAATGGACGTGGAACAGCAGAGGAAGAGGTCCATCTGCGGGCATGCTCGCCGGCATGTATGAAGGACTGCCCGTGCCCGTGTCCTGATCTGGCTCGTATCTAGTGTCGCGTGGCCTCTTTCTGAATCCCATGTGGATAAGAGACTCAGAAGTGATAGGCCGTACACTAGACTCCTCTGGGAGAAGGTCTGGGATGACCATGGTAGGCATGAGGGCGTACGCCAACAGAGTGATAATGGGTCCAGCCTGGATGTGATGTCGATTTCCTGTCGACTGATCAAACAGGAAACGCCCAACAAAGGAGGAAAGGTCCACAGGTGTGTGGCTCTCCAGGCTCCAAAAGAAGATCAGATCAGTGTCGTAAACTCTGTTGGCGTTCTTATGACGCCCAAAGTAGCTGCAGCAGAGGAGGTGACTAAGTATCCTCCACGCGGGACTCCTCCAATCGGATGATGAGCTGTACTTGTTGCTGAAGTCTCTAGTGCTACGTGAATGAGTCCTCCAAAATGCCTTGACGTCAACATCCAAAGGACGTCGACGTGGCAGGGCAAGAAAGTCCGGTGAGCTCGTCTCCTCAAGAGTATATATCCCCAGCAGGCGTCCTAGGTCAAGAACGGGGATATCAAACCTCGTCCCACGTAGCGTGAACGTCATTCGTACTGAGGGATGCACTCCCTCCACATCTCGAACTCTGCTCCCATAAACGCTGAACCTCAGTGAGCAGATGAACTCCATCGTCAGTGGCACGCTAGCTTGTGCACGGAGTGAAAGCAAACACCTCCATTTGGGGTCATGGAGGAAGTCATCAACCTCCTCCCAATACCCCATGCTCTCTAGCGCTGCATGGTCCAATATCATCGGCGGCGTCAGTACCTTCTTGCTACCCCAATCCCGATATCGTTCGCGTGCCTCGGGGGCAACAAAAGGTAAGTCTAGTCCATTAGCAGGGAAATCAGCCATCTGCACAGAGTTGAACAAACATGTTAAACTTGCCCCCAAAATCTGGTGCGACAAGTACTCTCTTTTTTTTTGTTCTATGTTCTTTCCTCTCTTATCTCAAAAAATAAGTGTGTTAAAAATGGTGACCGGACCGATTCAGAATATTCGGGATCGGGCAAAATGCTGCCAATTAGGTGCTCTTAGGCTCACCCGAATAATCCTTTCTACAGAATGACCCAGTAGGAATGGTGGGACAAGTTCAGCTCCCGAAGGCGTCACCCGTTGTGCCCACTTAAGTACCATTCCAGCTTAGACAGTCATTCTGTACACGGTACAGATATCATTTTTATCACACAAAAAAGTTTTTTTCTCACTATTTTTTTATTATTAACGGGTTGCCTCCCGTTCAGCGCTTCTTTAACGTCATTTAGCTGGACGCAATTCTCCTTCTTCAGTCCTCCAAGATTTGGAGGTACATCATGGTTTTTTCCCGGAACACATCTCCTCCCTCAAATTTCTTCAGGCGGTGACCATTGACTTTGAATTCCCCATTCTTCCCTCGAATTTCTACCGTTCCATACGGATAGACCTTCACCACTTGAAACGGTCCAGACCATCGAGACTTCAGTTTTCCAGGAAACAACCTCAACCGAGAATTGTACAGAAGTACTTGGTCCCCTTCATGGAACTCTTTGGATTGTTTAATGTGCGCATCGTGGTACTTCTTGACGCGCTCCTTGTATAGCAGATTGTTGTGGAAAGCAAGTGTTCTCCACTCATCTAACTCATCCAACTGGTAGAATCTCTCCCTTCCTGCTGCTGATGAATCCAGACACACGTTTCTGAGTGCCCAGAGTGCTTTGTGTTCGATCTCGACGGGCAGGTGACAAGATTTCCCGTAAACGAGATGGAAAGGAGTAGTTCCGATGGGAGTTTTATAAGCAGTTCGGAAGGCCCATAAGGCATCATCAAGCTTCAAACTCCAGTCCTTCCGAGTCTTAGCAACTGTCTTTTCCAGGATTGCCTTCAGATCTCTGTTCGTGTTCTCCACTTGGCCTTGAGTCTGGGGATGATAAGCAACACCCCCTCTGTGTTGGACTCCGTATCTCTGCAAGGTTCTGGCCAAGGGATCATTTCGGAAATGGGTCCCTCTGTCACTAATCAATACTCGAGGTACTCCGAACCTCGCAAACAATTTCTTCAAGAAATGCACCACCGTGCGTGCATCATCCCTCTGACAAGCTTGGGCTTCGGCCCACTTCGAGACGTATTCGACCGCCACCAGGATATATTTATTTCCGTATGAGCTCGGGAATGGTCCAACAAAGTCAATACCCCAAACATCAAATACCTCACACGGAAGTATATAATGTTGTGGCATCTCATCACGACGGGTGATGTTTCCCGTCCTTTGGCATTCCTCACACCTGGTCACAAATGTATGGGCATCTCGAAAAATGGTGGGCCAAAAGAACCCACTGTCTAGCACCTTCCGTGCGGTTCTTGTTCCTGAAAAATGGCCACCAACTAGCCCAGCATGACAGTGTTTCAGTATCTCTTCCCCTTCTTCTTCATTCACACACCTTCTCACCACCCTGTCAGCGCAAATCCGAAACAGGTAGGGATCCTCCCAGAAGTAGTGATTGGCTTCCCGTTTGAGCTTCCGTTTCATATGAGAAGAGACCATGGTAGGTTCGATATTTCTAGCTAAAAAGTTAGCTATATCGGCATACCATGGTGACTTCTCATCAGCTCTGAGTATTCTCTCAAACGGAAAAACCTCATCGACTGTGCATTCTCCAAATTGACTGGCCACGTCTAGTTCTAGACGAGACAGGTGGTCGGCAGCCTGATTTGCGGAACCACTTCGGTCCTTGACCTGAACTTTAAACTCCTGCAACAATAATACCCAGCGTAATAGCCTAGGCTTCGCGTCATTCTTCTGAAGTAGATATCTTAACGCCGAATGATCGGTGTAGACAGTAACTTCTGACAGAATGAGGTAAGGCCTAAACTTTTCCAGAGCATATACTATGGCGAGGAACTCTTTCTCGGTGGTGGTGTAATTCAGTTGTGGCCCTGACAATGTTCTACTAGCATAGTAAATAGGATGGAAGTTTTTACCCTCCCGTTGGCCAAGAATAGCCCCTATCACTTGATCACTAGCGTCACACATAAGCTCAAATGGTTTGGTCCAGTCAGGAGCCACAAGGACTGGTGCGGTGGTCAATTTTTCCTTTAGAGTGTTAAAGGCTTCTAGGCATTCGTCATCAAAGTCAAATTCTGCTCCTTTTTCTAGCAGACGGGTCAAAGGCTTAGCTATTTTAGAGAAATCCTTTATAAACCTTCGATAGAAACCAGCGTGGCCAAGAAAGCTACGGATGGCTCTAACGGAAGTTGGTGGGGGAAGTTTCTCTATCGTTTCCATTTTTGCCCTGTCGACTTCGACACCCTTGCTAGAGACCTTATGTCCTAGTACGATCCCTTCCTTGACCAAAAAGTGGCATTTCTCCCAACTTAAGGACAGGTGGGTCTCCTCGCACCGCTTCAACACCTTCTCGAGGTTCTTGAGACACTCTTCAAATGATTCCCCAATGATGGAGAAATCATCCATAAAGACCTCCATGAAATCGCCAATAAATTTCTCAAAGATTGCGATCATACATCTCATGAAGGTGGCAGGGGCATTACATAAACCAAAGGACATTCGCCGGAAGGCGAACGTTCCGAATGGACATGTAAATGTGGTCTTTTCCTGATCCTCGAGGTTGACATGAATTTGAAAGTAACCGCTCATTCCATCGAGAAAACAGTAATAAGCATGCCCCGCCAGTCTCTCAATTAACGGGTCAATAAATGGAAGGGGAAAATGGTCTTTCCGGGTGGCATCATTCAGTTTGCGTTAGTCAATTACCATTCTCCACCCGGTGACTGTGCGACTGGGCACAATTTCACCCTTCTCATTTTGAACAACTATCATTCCTCCCTTCTTTGGGACAACATGAATGGGACTAACCCACCGACTGTCAGAAATAGGGTAGATGATACCTGCGTCTAACAATCGGAGGACCTCTTTCTGGACAACCTCCATTAACTTCGGGTTAAGCCTTCGTTGTGCTTGAACAACGGGCTTACACCCTTCGTCAATTGCAATTTTGTGGGTGCAAAAGGCCGGGCTGATTCCTTGAATATCCTCCAACTTCCAAGCAAAAGCTTGCTTGTGTTGTCGGAGGACTGTTATTAGATCGGCCTTTTGTCCCACACTCAGATCAGATGCGATGACGACGGGGCATTTGCCCTTGTCATCCAGAAATACATACTCAAGATGTTTGGGAAGTGGCTTCAAGTCTAGGGAATCAGATCCCTTAGCCTCTACTTCCTGAACATCCTCACACTTGCTTGATTCAATCTCCTCAACCTTCAAAATCTCCTCCAGACCAAGAAGTGTCTCAACAGACTCTTTGTTTTTTAAAATTTTCACAGAGTGACAAAATTCAGTAGGGTCTGGAGATTGGTTCATCAAGTCTGTCAATTTGAAGGTACATTCATCTTCTCCAACTTTCAAGGTCATTTTCCCTTCATGAACATTAATCAAGGCCTTAGCAGTTGCTAAAAATGGCCGGCCTAAAATCAGAGGCATTTCAGAATCCTCTTCCATATCAAGGATTACGAAATCAGCTGGGAATGTGAATTTATCAACCTTAACGTACACGTCCTCAACTATTCCCCGAGGGTAACGGACAGAACTATCTGCTAGTTGAACACATGTTCGAGATGGTTTTAGTTCAGAAATTCCTAACTGTTCCATAATCGACGTGGGCATCAGATTAATGCTTGCACCTAAGTCTGCTAGGGCATGTTTAAAATGCATGTCTTTAATAGAACAAGGGATAGAGAACCTACCTGGATCCTTGCATTTTTCAGGTATGTGCTGGAACAACAACGCGGAACAGCTTGCGTTGAGATTGATCATTGGAAGTTCCTCTCAGTCCCTTTTATGTGTGACCAAGTCTTTTAAGAACTTGGCGTACCTTGGCATCTCCGTCAAGACATCGACTAAGGGTAGTTTGACTTCGACTTGGCCCATGATGTCTAAGAACTTCTTGAAGGCTTTTTCATCTTTGCTCTTCTTTACCCTTGAGGGGAAGGGTATGGTCACCTTCTTTGGCGGGAGATCGCCGTTTGGATGTTGGGACTGGAAAGGTTCTTCGTCCTTCTTTTCTTCTTCTTTCTTTTTCTCAGTCGGCTCATTGACTGGTTCAGCCATAGAATCCTTCAGAGTTGGTTCAGAACTCTGGCCAATGCCCTTTGTTTCCTTCCCACTTCGCAAGGTAACAGCCTTGAGGTGTTCTCGTGGGTTGTTTTCAGTTTTGGCCGGCAGAGTTCCAGGAGGTCGGATCGTCATTTGTTCCATAAGTTGCCGTATCGACTCCTCCAATCTCTGGATTCTTTCTTCATTTTTCTTGTCTTTTTCTTCTAGCATTTTCTTCATCTCGGTTGTGGGATCCTCAGCTTGCCTCTGGTGTGGAGGGACATATGCTTGAGTATTCCCTCCTTGGTTGAAGTTAGGCCCTCTCTCATTCCAGTTGTTGTTCCAGCCTCCTTGTCTGAAATCGTCCCTCGGACGATTATTTCTTTGAAAATTGTTGTTGTTGCGCTCTCTTGAAAGATCATCGCGCCAGTGGGCTGTTTGGTACTGGTTCGTGGCCCATGGTCCTTCCCCCTTGTTTGCATACTGGGCCAAATTTACTTCTCTAGGCTTTTCCTTGATTGGGCTTTCATAGTAAGGGCACTGGGCTGTCAAATGTGCACCTGTACATGATTCACAAGATAGAACAAGTTCGTTTGAGTGTGAACTTGAACTGCCTTGATAGTAGTTCTCAGCCTGAGCAACTGACTCGTATGGTTTGTTGGATCGGGAGCTTGTACTGAACTGATCTTGAATAGTTCGTTTGATCAAACTTTCCATGCTTGCTTTCAGTGCCGTCAAGGAATCCACTTCGTACATGCCAGCCTTCTGTTGTGGAGCTCGGTCTTCGTACCAGTATTTGGCATTTGAAGTTAGTCTCTCCACCAGATCCTCATTTTCTTCCGGTGTCATATCCAAGAAAGAGCCGACCTTAGAAGAGTGGTCGAGTTCTTTCTTTGACGGCACCAGAAGTCCTTGATAAAAATGGAACATCAGGCTATCAGCATCAATTAGGGAAGGAGGACATTTGATCTTCAGATCCTTGAATCTTTCCCATGCCTCGCTCAGGGATTCGATCGAATCTTGAGAGAAATTCTGGATCGATCGTTTGATTTTGGCGATGGCGGATGGTGGGAAGTATTCGTGCATGAAAGCTTGGTGCAGTGCCTCCCAGGTTTTGAAATGACCCGTTGAGAACGTATTCAACCATCGGGCCACCCTATCTCGAAGTGAGAAAGGAAAGAGCGATAGTTTGATACGATCGGAGGTCACTCCGTTCATCTTCAGCGTCTGACAGGTTCGGGAGAACCAGAGCATGTGGGCCCTTGGATCTTCCCCCTTCATACCCCCGAATTGATTATTCGAAACCATTTGGATTATGGCAGGTTTGATCTCGAATGTGTGGGCATCAGTGTTCGGGAGTCCGATGGGGTCTTCCTCGACATAGGCGGGGCTCATGGCTTGGAGTACAGTCCGCCTACGTCCGTTATTTTCTTCCATTATGGGCTGATCAACCTCGATCTCTTCTTCTTCTCCCCCAGAATCCCCTCCGGGTGAATTTTTCAAAGTATTTTGTCGGAGAATTTTCTTAGGATTTTCAGTGAACGGAGCAAAACTACCCCCACTAGTTGAGCGGGTTTGCATGTAATTTTGCCAAAGTATGTAAAGATGCTAGAAAATCGACCTAACAAATTTTCTACTAGGCTAACTATAAAAATTTGTAACAGAAAAATTAATTTAAGCACCAATCCCAGGCAGCGGCGCCATTTGACGAAAGAGTTTTAGCGGTAGTAAATTTTACTCTAAAAGAGATAGATTTATTCCCGTGTCGTATTCACGTGGATTGGTGTTAAAATAAATTTTCTATTAAAACCTAGTTAGGCAAAGTTTTACTCATTGATTTTGGAAGCCTTCTAAATTCGAAAAGTGTTTGTGGTTTGGAATTAAACTAAATTGGACAGAGTAATAATTGTTTGATAAAAAGGAATATGAATTGATTTCAGGTAGTAGGAATTTTTCAGATAATTTAACTAGTTGGATTATTAAATTAACTAATTAATTTAGCTAGTGAGTAATTCTGTCACAATAACTCCATTAATTTTATCCTATCTCTAGGCATTATTAATGTGCTAGAATTGATTGACTAAATTATTTTTCTCATTCATTGACAAATGGACATAATAATTTTTCAANTTAATTAGAACATTCAACAATTACTAGCAACTTAACATTTTAATTAATTAAATTTAATACTCCAACATAATTATTTTTCCTACATTCCTACTACCCTAATTTCAATTCACATTCCTAATATGTTTAAAAAGACATAGTAATAATAAAAAGTGCAAAAATTGAATAACAAAACATTTTTATAATATTAATTAAAGAAACTTACAACTTCCAGAAAAGCGGAATTGGAACAGAACTGGAACTGAAACTCCCAAAATAAATTAAAACTACAATTCTTATAACTATTTTCGCTGCTATAGAGAGGAAAAAACGAAGAGAGAATGAATGATGGATGAAGCTGATCGACGCTGCCTTTTATAGGCCTAGGAATCTCCGGGGCGAGGTGTGGGGCGGCCGCCCGGAAGGTCGCCCTAGAAGGAATATCCGAATATTCCGCCCCAAGTTGCTGTCAGTTGCGATTAGCTACCGTTTGGATTCCGGGGCTGGGTCCGGGGCGGGCGCCCCGCAGGTCGCCCCGCAGGTCGCCCCGCAGTCGATAAAATTATCTCCGCAGAAACGTCCGCCACTTGCTTATATCTGACATTTGGATCCCGGGGCTGGGTCCGGGGCGGTCGCCCAGCAGGTCGCCCGGCCCAACCTTGGATTTTGGGCTTCGAATTTCTGTGGCAAGTTCCATATTTTGTGCTGAACATTTTTCTCTTCTGGAGCTATGGACGAAATTGAGCTTAAATATCTCAAATATTTTATTTTCTTTCAAGTTTTTATCCTGTTTGAACGAGTTTCTGTTAGAAAATTCTAAATTTGTTTTGAACACACCCTTTTTATAAACAAAATGACATTTTGAGAAATTTAGAAAAGAAAATAAATATTTTTACCTTAATTAAATTTATTTACATACAAAAAACGTTTAAATATAAGAAAAATAATAAGTACAAAATGTACTTATCATCTAGCAACTCATGAAGGGCTATAGGCTTGTCCTTATTCACTGTTTCAGTAGTAAAGTTATCCTCATCCTTAACAACACCGGAAGGAACAATTTGCAATAGACACAATTGGCTAGAGCTATTCAAAACTTTGGCCAGATTATTAGATTTTACCTCAGTGACAAGCCTTTTAAGACCCCTCAAGATCTGTTTACTCCCCTGGTATATGAACTCTATCTCCAATTTGCTGAAGTCCCACTTCACAGGTCCTAGTGTACTTAGCCATTGTACACCTAGAACTACATCACATCCACCAAGGGGAATAAGGAGCATATCAGAACTAAAGGTAGTTCGGTGGAGTCTCCATTCAAACTCCTTGCACCTGAACTCACACCGCAGCTGATTACCATCAGCCACTATGACTGAAGTAGCTATGATGGGATTCAATTTGCACCCCAATCTTTTAGCCAGTGATAAGTCCAAAAAATTATGTGTACTACCTGAATCTATGAGAATATGTAGTGGTTTCTGGCCGTAGTACCCTGTCACCCTCATTGTTTGGAACCCCTGGCTGCCATTAATAGCATTTGCCGAAATAAAAGGGTTATTCCCCTCGATTAAGCAGTCAGATTCAGTTTGCATAAGTTCCTCTTCTGTTTCAGATTCCCCTGGTACTTCAACCAAAAATAGTTGGGTGCCCTTCCCCACACATTTATGCCCTTTCTCAAAAGGTTTGTCACAGTAATAACAAAGCCCCTTTGCTATATTTTCTGCTCTTACTGCAGCTGGTATGAATCTTGGTTGGTTCACCACAGGAACTGCATTTACTGGCTTTGTATTAGGGGTGGGTAGCAGTCCCTTGTTGAAATTGATCATTGGCTTCGCAGTCCTCTCTGGCCATTTGATGGCTTGTACAGTTTCTTCCTGGCATCTAGCATACTCAATAGCTTCAGACAAAGTTCCTGGCTTCAAAGCCCTCACAAATGCTTTGATGTGGGGCTTGAGCCCTCCTACAAAACTGTCCAGGAAATGGTTCACAGGGAGCGTAGGGTTTTTCATCAACATACAAGACCTCAGCTCCTCAAATCTGTCCACATAGTCATCTATACTCCTAGTCTGTTGCAACTTGTTAAACTCCTCAACCACCTTCGAGCCTAACTCATCCTTGAATCTAGCACTCAGATCCACCACAAAGTCTTCCCACGTGATGTTGGCTCTGCCCAGAGTATAGCTATTATACCATACAGCAGCTTTTCCGATCAAATATATAGAAGCTAGATCCACTCTTTTTGTATCAGGAATTTGACACAACGAAAAGTATTGCACACACTTTTTAATCCATATTCTCACATTAGATCCATCAAATTGTGGGAACTCAACTTTGGGATTAAAATGGATTGGTTTGTGATTACCTCCCTCCATACGTCCAATGTATTCGTTGCCACCCCCGGTATTATTAAGTGATCCCCCACTTGATAACGCTTTAATCTGCTCTACCATCTGACCGAATAGATGCTGTTGTTCATCGATCCTTCTGTTTTGCTCTGCCATCTGATCAACCAGCGCCTTAAGAGTTTCTTCTATTGACGCCATTTGTGCTGCCGTCTTGTCAGCGCCAGATCTTGAGGCTCCGATACCAATGTTACGGATGCGTGGAGGCTTCTCGAAAGGAGAAAGAGAGCCCCGAGGCACGTAACAGAAAAGAGAGAGAAAATATGAGAATGAGAGAGAGAGTAAATATTCTTTCTTATTTTCTTTCAATCCAACGCCACGTGCATATATATGAGTCCTCAAACGACTTAGCACACATGAAAGGAAAAACAATGAAGGAAAAATATAAAGGGATAAAATAGTAAATAGCTAATGTTGGGCTTGGGCCGCATCATTATTGATACAGCACAAGGGAGAGCCACACCCTAAAAGCTAGCTTTTAGGGTGTGGCTCTCCCTTGTGCTGTATCAATGGTATCAGAGCCAACTCGGAGTGGTGGCCTACGGAGTGGTGGCCTGGTGAAACCAGCCGTGACCAACGTGGCCGTGACCAACGTAGCCGTGACCAACGAGGACGTTGGGCCTTATAGGGGGTCGAATGATACGGACTGATTTCATTGTCCCACACCGGTTATATGGGGAACTTGGTGATGGGTTTATATAGCCAAGGGTTCTCCCACCTTATCAGCTAGCTTTTAGGGTGTGGCTCTCCCTTGTGCTGTATCAAATTCAGAAAAGTTGGGGCTTAACGGTAGACCATCTACCCTTATGAGAGTTGAATTTGGAAAGTCTAAGCATTAACGGTACTTTTTTTAGGTTTTGTGGCCTCGCATATATACCCTTCGGCTTCATGAATTATCAATCACATAATTCCATTGCCATTTTGAGGTTAGAAAATGCATCCAAGCACCGTTTACCCTATACTGTATGTAATAATAAAAAGAGTAAATTCTCAAAATGCTCCTTTGTAATAAGGTGTTTTCCCGATTCAGTCTTCAATAAGTTTTAATTACTTACATGGTCCTCTATAATTGAGATTCATTCCCAAGATAGTCCTTCGTAAATACAGTTACTCAAATGATGATTAATTGGGAGATATTTTGGTATTTTGATCATCCAAATTTAAAGTATATTCTCGAAACAGTTATTTCTGTTCAACTAAACGTAAAATTGAAAAATACATTGACTATAACTATTTCATGAATTATTTAAAACTTATAAAAAAAATTAAATTTCAAATCAAATACACATCTTCAATTAGAAAAAATCATTTTGGGAAATCACTTCATTATAAATGATCATTTTAATAATTAATTCTAAATTTAGCGGATAAAAAATAACCTCAATTAATCCTCATTTGAGTAACACTATTTACGAAGGACAATCTTGGAAATAAATCTCAATTATAGAGTACCATGTAATTAAAATTTATTGAGGACTGAATTGTGAAAACACAAAGGACTGTTTTGGGAAATTACTCTAATAAAAAAAATAACTCAACCATTAAAACTCACCTAACACTTAAAAAACCTACAACCACTCAATTCCCACTACACACTTAAAAAAACCTACAACTATTCAAATCTCACGTAAAAAAAATCTACAACCACTCAATTCTCACCTAACACTAAAAAAACCTACAACCATTCAAATCTCACTTAAAAATAAAAAAATCATGCACCCTGAAATCCCACCTAACAATAAAAAATTAACTCAACCATCAAATCCCACCTAACACTGAAAATAAACCATACAACCACTCAATTCTCACCTAACACTAAAAAATCCTACAACCATTCCCTCTCAGGTACCTCATCTCAGACTACTACTCACTCCGTCCCAAAAAGAATTTCCTTCTTTGATTAATGTGCAAAACCCTGTGGATTTTAAAATGATTTTATTTCCAAATTGGTAAGGAAATAACACATAAAAAATTATATTTAAAAACTACATAAAAAACTCTACATAATAAGAGGTGAGAAGAACATTTTATTCTATAAAGTGATCAATGAAAACACGCAAAAAATAAGAGTTATCGAGATGCCGTAATAGTAAACAGAAAATACTTTTTGGGACGGAGGGAGTATAAATTTAGGGCATATCTCTCATTGTCTCACCACCTAAAATCCTTCAACATCTCAGTGAAATATATTCTCACGTAACTCATAGCACTTTTTCTTACATTTGAAAAAAAGTGGCCTTAGATGAGAGTTTAATCCTTCTAGCCCATTGGAACGGAAAGTTCAAAATCGAGTACAATGAGGTGGAGTACTCATTGCATGCAAACAGAGCATTTGTCTTTGATCTTCAAGTCTCATTCGAGGATGTCTTCAAAGAACTCCTCGCTGCCATCGGTGAAGATGATCTGAGTTCCATCAAGAAAATTTGGGGGAATATCCCAAATACAAATATTGAGTGTATGCCGCTTCCCGCCCTTTTGAATTTCCGAAGAAAGAACATGGAGGTGTTTTGTTGAAAAGGCCACCAAGCAATACGATGAAGTTGAGGTGTACCTAGAGGCAAAGCGATTGGAGGAAGATGTTCAGGTGGAGGAACAACAACCACACCTCCAAGAACACACACATCAACAATGGGGTGCACAACAATTTTCGTGGGATGAGGCGGGACCGTCTAACGTGGCACATGAACATGATGACGAAAGTGACCCCGATGATCCGACTTACGTTGGGACTTTGTTAAGGAACCAACTCAACTAAAAGCTCAAACTTGTGGTTGTGGCCCAGGAACAGTTATTTATATTCTAACACGCCCCCTCACGTGCAGGCGTAGTCTTTTTTTCGAGCCTTGCGCGTGAAACCTAAATTTTTTTTTAAACTGGTGGCACTGAGTTTCGAACCCGTGACCTCTTAGTCAACGAGGCCCTGATACCATGTTAAGGAGCCAACTCAACCAAAAGCTCAAGCTTGTGGTTGTGACCCAGGAACAGTTATTTATATTCTAACAGACTTCTAGTGATAAGAGTTCTTCAGATGAGTCTGAAGTATCCGGATGGGTGTCTATGTACACGCAAGACGTTGACACGGAAAAAATAAGGGAGTCTTGTTACTAGCAGTCGCAATGACAACAAATTACGAGATTTTCCTGTTAGCTTATTCCCTTGTTGACAAAGAAGACGGGGACAGTTGAAGTTGGTTCATGATGCATTTAATGCGTCATGTAGTTCCCATTGATATTTCGGTGTGCTTCATTTCAGACCAGAGATATTGCCTCCGAGATATTGCCTCCGACACGCCCCTCGGTTGACGCAACAGAGTCTCCCTGTTAAGGAAACATCGTGTCACCCAGAGATATTGCCTCCGACACCTGCATAGTAATTTCCAGAAGAAGCTCAACAGCAAGAAGCTAAAGTTCTTGATGTATCATGCTCCAAGTACCCCTGACATGTATGAATTTCATCAAACTATGCAACATAAATATACAGTCACAACGGGCAGAGGCACATGACTGGTTGATGGCTTTACCATTAGACAAATGGGCACTATGTTGCGATGGTAGGGCTTGGAATGGAATCCTGAGCACTAATCTTTCCAAAAGCTTCAATCACGTGCTAAAGGGTTCCCGGTCTCTTCCGATATATGCTATCGTGAAGACAACCTACGAGCAATTAGTCAAATTATTTACGGAAAGGCAAACAGCTGGATTTACATGGCTACAAGTAGGGTATAAGTTTCCAAAATATATTTGGAACGAGGTCAGACGTATGGAAGGCAATCGTTTGCTTTGCCTTGTTATCCCTTATCATCCGCAACAAGGTATTTATCGGGTCAATGTTCCTGGGAACACTAGAGCTGTCGGTCGAGTAGAGGAGATTGTCGTTCAACTGGGCCAAAAAATGTGTAGTTGCGAGAAATGGGCCACATTGCACATGCCATGTATCCATGTTTACGCCATGTGTCATTACTGCACCATCACGGTTGATGATCTCATTCCATCAGTGTTCTCACTTCAGAGCTACTTGAATGCATACGCCAGAAGTGTAATGCCAATGCCGGATCAAATGGAATGGCTGAATCTTGATTATGAATTGGTTCGACCAAATAATGACCAAAGTTCTCACGTGGGTCGTCCAGTGAGCACTCGTTTCACTAATAACATGGATATGCGACCATGAAGACGTCGTGGTGGTACTTAGTGAAATTATAAAATTCTTAGTGTGATTTTTAAAGATGTACCACAATTTATAATTTTGTACTTTGTATTTCTATGGCATCTAGTCAAATGCTTTTTCATTTTTGTTATGTACCGATCTCACAATATATGTTCTTGAATTTATATTTTGTGAATCTCTTCATTTCTAAAATATTTTCCCACCTAAATTTTCCAAAAAAAAATAAATCAAATGAACGACATAATTTCTGTTTGTATTAACTAATATTTAATGTATTTAAAAATTTATATTACACACTTTACTTATATAATTAATATTAAATATAAAAAATAAAGACCTCAAAACGGTACACCAAAAAGGTAGATGCTCTACCGTTAACACCTAAAAGTCCTAATTCCCTGCACTGTCAGCTCCACCTTCACTAATTGGGAATGCTTTTTTTCTTGCACTGATCGAGAAAACGTCCATCCTAATACCAATCATCATGAGATTTAATTCCCGATTAGTGAAGGAAACACAAAGGCATTTCCGTTCAGTGCTTGTCAGAGTAAAAAAGAGGTTACCAGTACATGCAATACCGTTAAGCCGTGAGAAATCAAAGGATAACGGTAGAGGTTGTACCGTTAAGACTAAAAATAATTAATAACGGGTGGTTAACCATTCATTTCCCCTATCCAAACCCCATTCCAACCCCAACCCCAAGAAATTGCAACGAGAGCAGCGCCCCAGGCAACCCTCGCCGTCCGTCACCAACCGCCAGCTGGCCGTTGCCGTTCGTCGTCGTCCCTCACTGTCCGTCACCGTTCGTCGGGTTAACAGTACCGTGTCTACCATTTTTTCTATTTTAATTCCCATAATTTCTAATTTAAACTTATATTTGGTAATTAAAATGTTTATGAGATATGTTTATTGTTAAAATTCCGGCGGGCCAAGAACAACGGATAGAGTGTCGGGTAAAATTAACCACTTGCATATAAAGTCGGGATCCACAATTCTAACCCAAAAGCTTAAGCTAATAGGTAGGGTTTTACCCTTGAATATATGCAAGTGATACTCATCTTTATTTTCCGAGGTGGGAACTCCAACACTCCCCCGTAAGTGGTAACTAGCCTGGCCCAGTTAGCACTTGGACAAACGGGTCTAGCATCTCAATCTCTTATAGCTAGCCCACACAACTGGCGGTGGCATCTCAATCTCTTTTTAGCCAAATCAGCCCAAACCACATACGGGTAGCTCATTTTTGCTAAACCCACATCTAAACAACCAGGAACAATTAAACCCGGACCGGACCTGCTCTGATACCATGTTAGAATTCCGGCGGGCCAAGAATAACGGATAGAGTGTCGGGTAAAATTAACCACTTGCATATAAAGTCGGGATCCACAATTCTAACCCAAAAGCTTAAGCTAATAGGTAGGGTTTCACCCTTCAATATATGCAAGTGATACTCATCTTTATTTTCCGATGTGGGAACTCCAACATTTATGATTAGATCTATGTTGAGAATATTGCAAATTGAAATGTTGATAACTTAGAAGATTGAAAATTTAGATTAGATCTATATTGAGAATTTAAAAAAATTGAAATGTTTATGAGATATTCGATTTTTTTTGTTATATATTTTTGGATTTTTTTGTAGTGCATTACATATTTTTGATTTATCGTATTCATAGACTATAAATTTTAATTTCATAGAATAACGAATTTTGAAAGAACGGACATCCATCCGACGACATGTCAACGACAACAACCTAGTTAGATCCCACGAAAGTAGGATCTGGGGAGGCTGTGCGTAGGTAAATCTTTCTCTTCAGAGTGCTCTATATATTATGCTTTGTATTTTATGTGAAGCAAATATATTAGGTATAAATTTCTATATTTAAATTCGAATATATTCATTAACATATCGAATCGAATATATATACGTTCATATATGTATTCGTTTTCTGTCGAATTCTAATAAATATTTATATTCTAATTCATATTTTTTCCCAATATGAATCATTGATGTCGAATACGAATCTCGAATCGAATCAAAACTATTTGTTTGTTTTACAGTTTTACAATCCAACCCACACCTTCCATACTAAGGTTGCGTTCTTTTCGACTGATTTGATTTGATCTGATCTAATTTTTTGAAGATCTGATTTGATCTGATCTGATTACAGTTAAAATTAAAGCTATTTTTGATATGATCTGGTCTGATTTGATCTAGTCTGATCTGATTATATTAATAATACTCTCTCCGTCCGAATATGTTCTTCCCACTTTCCTTTTTGGCCAATCCGGAAATATTCTTCTCATTTCCTTTTTTAGTATACTTTTTAAGTATAAATTTCAATAAATTTCCTTTTTTCCGTACTATTTTAATAAGAAAAGGAGATTTAAAAGTTTATAGTATATATAATTTTGGAAATTTGGCATTTTTTTATTACTTCTTAATAAGTGTGCCAAGTCAACACGAGAAAAACATTCTAAGATGGAAGGTGAACAGAATGCTGGTATATTATCTTTTTGGATAAAGCTACTTGTAACCCAAATTTTTGTACCTCATTTGTACACCGCAGGTTTGCACCGACATTTTGTGTCGGTGTAAAACTAATTTTTAATAACGCACCAACACTTTGTGTCCGTGTACATTTTTGTTAACGCACCAACACTTGTGTCGGTGTAAACCATCAAAATGTTTGTGCATAACTGCGGTGTACAAATGAAGTACAAATTTTGGTGTAACTGTAGCATTGTCCAAAAATCAATTTACATACATCTCTTACATCCTCGGAAAAAAGGGAGGGTGTTTGAGAGTGATTAACTTGTGGATAAAGTGATTTCTACAAAAGCTGAAAGCAAAAGCACCGCATACCTGCTTCTCCAAAACGGTGTTCTATGTACAAATTAGTGGTGGTTAAAAGCAGAAGCTGACATGCCAAACAGAGTAAAATCACTTCCACTCAAAGCAGAAGCTAAATTATTAAAAGCAGCTGCCAAACACTCAAACACTCTAATAGTTCATAGTGGGTGGAAGACTGGAAGGGAGGCTATCTCACGTCGGAAAATGTCGTCGGAACCCCCGCCTTTCCAGGAAGCATCCCGCTGCGACGTCTGCAAATGCAGCTTCAGCGCCTTCCGGAGACGGGTGCCCTATGATTCTCTTCTTTCCCCGATCCCCCCCTTTCGAACTTGTTTCTTATTATGATCATCTGATCTGGAGTAGAGTTGTCTCTTCTCCTTCCAAACTGGATCATCTATTTTTCTTTTCTGCTATCAAGTTTTTGTTCTTTAAATGGGGGGCTTTTCCCCTCTAATCATTTCTTAGAGGAGTTAGAGCACTAAATCTAAAGTCAAAGTGTGACACACCATATGCAACTGGACTTGCATTGGGTGTGTACTTGTTTGATGGGGAAGTATTCCACCTGCTCCTTAATGAGTATTGAGTGTATTGATTGCTAATTGAATGCTTGGTCTCCTCAATTCACGGAGCAGGTGCATTTATAGTTACTAGTTTTTGGAACATTTGTCCTACTCAGATTTATGTCCCAACAAATGTTCAAAAGAATTCGAGGATAAAGTATTGAAACCAGTTAGCAAAAAGTATTAAATTCTTTGATGCGATCGAGAAAGTGAATACTTAACCATGACTTTGATGACTCTTATATTAAGCTTGGGATCCTATCCCTATTCGCTCCTCCCGGTACACCTTAGTAGGTATTACATGGAATTGAACTTTGTTGGCTGTAGTTCAATGTTTGATGAGTCATACAACTCTACGAGACCCTTTCCATGATCACACGCTTCTAACTACAACTTATACCCTTGACCAATTTCTTTGTTCGGTTGAGAGGACACTGTGTGAAGGGCTAATGCCCCAAGTTGTCCTGCCTGAAGAATTGGGTTGTGAGGCTTTTGTAAAGATGTCTCGCGATATGTACAAAGCTTAATGCCAATTCTCATGGATGTCTTTTGGAATATCCTGACTAGTATGGGCTGTCAGACTGGAGCATCTGCAGGTCTGCTTCGTCGTACCTGTGAGATGCAAATCATACAATCACCAGGCCTTGTTTATCTGTTGGGCCGGTTAGCTATGCATGTGCCTAATTGCTACTATACTGACTATATCACTATGTCAGACTTATAATCAAAATATATTGAGCCTGTTTTATAGTACTCGTAATATTTTGGCTTTACCAGTATACCCATCGATGTCCATGCTTTTTTTCTTTTCTTGCTTTAATTCAATTATAATGATTGAACATTATATTTTTAGTTTTAATCAAGATGCTTCCCTTTACGGTTTTATGCAATCTCCTAAATATGCCTTTCTTTATTTGGGTTTTTGCTATTTAGCATCACTGCAGATGTTGTGGGAGGACTTTGTGTGCTGAACACTCAGCAAGCCAGATGGTATCTAATTTACAGCTATGAATGTTCTGATTTGAGCTGGTATAAAATGTATATTTACTTCAGTTTTTCTTTTTATTTTTTGTTTTCAATATTTTCAGGCCTTACCACAGTTTGGTATTCATACACCGACCAGAGTTTGTGCTGAATGTTTTAATGATGCCCCTAGGTATAATTCTACAATTGTCTTCTGTAAATTCCAGTCTGCACTGCAGTAGCAAAGAGACTAGTGTTTTGTGAGTTGATTATTAATAATCCTCTGATCACTCATTCATGCGCCCCGCGTTCTTTGATAGTAGTAGATGACAATTGACAAATAATTCATTAGTTCATTGATTAGAAACTAGCATGCTATCAAGGCGGCAAAATGGGCTAAGCAGATTCAGATTGCTTGGTTTCATCTCAAACTTGTGATGCAACAGTGCATTGGTAGCTGTGGAGAGTATCACATGCACAACACATATATGTATCTAGGTTTAATATTTAATTAGTTAAACTAACATAACCATGTCACCTCTTGTTTCATAGACTTTTTTATGTAGTTTTGAAATATGTAATTTTAATTTCAAAATTTACACCAATATTCAAATATAGTTTCAGTCAGACATCAAAGTTTATTTAGGGATAGAGGGAGTATTAGTTATTACTACCTCCTTCCCATAAAACGAGTCCTGTTTCTAAAGTTATATTTTTCCGAAAAAGACTCCAATTTTTATAAAAGAATCTACCTTTCATCATATTCTGTTTTTATAGTAAAAGAAGTTGAGTGTGTTAAATGTATCTAAGCCAACAATTGAAATTTAGAAATAAAGACACATCTGAAGCTATTGATGATATCTAATAGTTGTCCCTTACACAATTTAAAACATTGTTCGTTTGCTATAAGGACACTTTTTATGGGATGGAGGTTGTATTTTGAAACCTTCAACTCTTTTTCTTTAAATGGGTAATATAATTAGAGATGGAAATTTCTTCTCAATTCTAACTCGAAATTGAATTAGAGTCTTTTGATGCACTAGTTTTGAGAATGAGACTAGCTAAATTGTTTGTCAGTTGTCATGTGCGACATCTTTTCAAAGCAGACCCCTTTAGCTTTTATAATTTTCTGTTTCTTTTTCTTGGGGTTTATGTTAGTACTCTCGTTGCCACTGTTTAATCTTGTTTTACTTCGCACGGGTCTTAAGACCATGGAAATGTTGTAAAGACTAGTTTAGAAAGAAAAGGGAGAAGAACAACTGCACAACTATTTCCTTAAAAAGACAATTGGGAAATTTGCAACAAACCAAAAACATAAGTTGGAAGATTAAATGGAGGGACAGAGGGAGGATTATATATATGTTCCAACTTGATACTTAATTTACTCGTGTTGAGGCTTGAAAACTACTGGCTCTTGCTCACCTGTTTTTCCAAAACATCTAACACCTGCACATTCTGCTTATGTGTAAATCTCATTCTGATTAGATTCGTTGGGACGGAAGCACCATCTTCATCAGATGAAGTTAGTAATATTGCAGATTCAGTTTCAAGATTAAATGTTGGTCAAGTTTTAGATGCTGGAAATGCTCACTGTGAAAAGGAATTTTCAATGCCAAGCAAATCAGTGTGCAAATGTGGAATGCCTTTATGCATCTGTGAAGCGCAAGAGGAAACTGGTTCAGTTAGCTTGCGGGAAAGGATTATTTTCATTGATTAAGTGCATTTTGTCATTTTGAACGTATCTTATGACCTTACAGTTATATTTTAATTCCAGCAGGGTCCACCTACTTCTTCTGTGGTTAAAGTTCAGACGAATCCAAAACCGAAAAAGGTGAACACATTGCCAAAGACTAGAGAATCATCATCAAACAATAAGCAGGGGTAGGTGATATGTTTACATGATCCAGTAGGTCAATCCATTTGTCTGCCAATATATATTCCACATCTTTATCATTGTATATATAACCACAATATATATTTTTTAAGTAAACGACAGCAGTAATGCCTGCATTCCTTCTTTCTTCATTCAATGAAGGGGTTTACTGATTTTACTCATTGCTATACATGGAGACTGCTGTATTCTTCCTTTGTTCTTTAATTAAAAGCTCTTGTGTTGTTTGCTTCTTCATTAATTGGGAAATATAATTACCTACACCAATCAAGCCTTTCCCAGTAGGTGGTGTCAGCCAGGAAAAGACAATGACGTAATTGGATAATGGAGCATTTCAGCTTGCATGATTTTTTGATTAGTATACTACACACAAATAGCTTTATCGTATTTGTCAACAAGCTTTATCCTTTGTTACTCTTAATCTAATCAAACCAGATTATTCGGTCTTGGTCAAGTTACAAGCTCTGCTGGTCCAGGACAAATTCTTGGGGATTATGAAGTTAGTGGGGAGGTATAGCGCTATCCCTTAATTTCATAGCATGGTAAGTTAAGCTTCATACACCCCATTGTTACATCCCTGTATTCTGAGACAAAAATATTGTTTAGGGCATGAGGGAGGCGATAAAAAATGGTGACACAACTGCTGCTAAGAGACTTTTAAGTCAGGTATTCTTTCCGCTCTCTTTCTTACAGAAATTATTATTGTTATTATTTTTATTATCATTCTTAACTAAAAAAATTTATTATTATCATTATACTCCGTAATTATTATGAAAATCATAACTATTGTTTATTAAAGCTCATTTCAACCTTGTAGGGAGTGGATGCGAATTATCATGACAAGCAAGGGTCATCGTTGTTACATCTGGTACACACTTCCTCTCCGTGTCTCTTTGTTATCTGTAAGAACATCAAATTTTTTTGTCAGCAACGACAATAGTAAAGGGTGAACTATGCAGGCAGCTGTTTTTAATAGAACTGATATAGCTTTTGCCCTCATGGAAAGCGGAGCAAGTTTGCATTACAAAAACTCACAAGGTAAGCAAGCACAACAGCTACATAAAAACTCGAGCTGTTATGAATTTTGATCATCTGCTTGGCCAAAGATCACATTGGATCATTTCCAACCATCTGTAATGTCTTCCGAGCCAAAAAACTATTGTGAGCTGCCCCCTATTTCTAGACTTGTGTCCAAGATGGCTCAGACCAGCGAAGCAGACAACACAAAATATGCAGTTTCTTGGTAAGTAATGACTTCCATAATGTCAAAATTGCACTTTTGATTGTTTTTCAGGTGAGACGCCACTAGATTGTGCCCCAGCTACATTGCAGTACAAGATGAAGAAGAAGATGGAAGAGACAGAGCAGTGTGGCTGAGTAATCTGTGATACATCTTTCTTTCTTTTTTCTTCCCTGAGGTATATGAAATGTCACCTCTGATCTCGAACGATGGCAGAGCTTGTTCCTTCCCCTGTGGTTTCAAACTTTTAGTTACGTATCGGTCTATATTCAGAGCAAGAAATGAATGTGTTCTCATTTGCTTAACCATTTGTCTGAAAGTCCCAATAGGTGGTCCGTGGTTGTCCCTTTTCAACAAAAATAAATCAAGGGAACCACCCTGGTGTTATGAATGTATAATGTATCCATGTTCTTTAACAACCCGTTCACATATGGTTAACGCTATGAACCGTGCACCTTTTCCATTTCACATGTTTTTTTTGCGGGCAGGTTGAACGGGTTGATCTGAATTTATTGAAGATAAGTTTTTATCAACTTATATCAGTCATAGATTGTCACACTTGCACCACTTAAATCATATATATATAGTTTTAAAATTCAAAGGCAAATTTTATCAATTATTTTGTATAACTTTGAGACTTTTAACTCTAAGAATTTGACATGTGTAATGTGTGGCATGTTAGCATTGCCACCTAGATGGAGAAATCAATTCTTCCTTGCACACTAGCTTATTTTATGCGATCAATTCATGCCTTATTTAGACTCGAGAAATCTTGGACTCTTTTGTCCCGAATTAACTCCATCTCATTCTTTCTTCAATCGACAATAATAGAAGAATTCTGGCTTTCAAGCTTTGGGTTCAAAATAGGTACTTTGTAATTCAATTTCATGTCAAATTTTAGTTTACTATGTGAATTACCAATTTTGCCAAAATTCGATACCCTTCTGTATACTAGAGTTCCATATTCAAAGCTTTGGAATTTGGATAGGTAACTCACGTTAATTTTTATTTTACTAAATTTTAAGGTTTTTCCTCAACTATTAATTTCTTCGAAGGCAAATCGGAGCAGGAACCCTCAGATTCCCAACGTCTTCCACCGAATCAAATCCTCAGATCTCCCTCGAGGCGACGAGAAAGAAGAACATTCAAGAATCTCAAAAGATATGGAGTATATTCAAATGTCACATTCTTTTATAAAATTTCAGTTCATAATGCAAATCTATAGTAGTTTCATTAATAATTTGATACAATATGTGTTTCAATTTTTGTTTGAAGATAATAGAAGAACTACACCAAAACTGAAATTATGTACAAATGATTAATTGTATTTTGATTTATAAATGATTAAAACGTAATAATAATATCTAGCGAAGATCTCTCTTTTTTAGAGGGACAATTTCATTGGATTCCTTTGCTAAAAGAAAATTTGTCTTTTGATGAAGTACATTATATCATTGAAATGGAGATTTGTTGTTTGCCTTCCCTCATATTTAGAAAGGTATTGTGTATATCACACGTAGTACGGAGTAGCTTATTTTAGCATATGCAACATAAGTGGGCATTATTGCACGAGTTTCGCCTAAACGTTCTGGTCAAAAACTACTGTCACTGAATGCAAGTGTGACAAAATTTCTACACATGACCTTAAGTTGATTGCTTTCCCCAATATTGTCTATATAGACTCAAATTTTCTGTACTTAGGGTTTGTTCTTTAGTGTTAGGAAAAAGAGTTGGATGTTAGAATCAACTGAAAGAAACTGATACGTGAATGTATCAAATAGGGAAGAAAGATTAAGAATTTGGGGAGAAGGAGAAGAGTCTCAGAGAGAAGAAAGAGAGACAGGGCAGGGAGAAGATTAGGGTTTAGAGAAGTACTTGGTTGATTTCTTTGTTGATCAATATTTAAAGAGGGATTAAATCTCAATACATATGGATAGAAATGAAAGCCCCTAGCCCTAATTTTTTATCTTGTCAATTCAATAAAAACATCAAGGTAAAGAATCGAAAAAAACTCTCGAGGAAGCTTATAACTTTGCTCACTTAATAAAATCTAAATTAAGAAATGTAAAAAATGTATTGAATTTCAAAATTTAAGAAACTAGTATCAGAAACTAAAAAAATGTAAGAAATTGAAAAAAACAGGAAAAACTGGAAGAAATAGGAAAAACTAGAACTATATTAAAATATTTAGATATTGAATTTCAAAATTTATACTTTATAAATTTCTTTAATTTTTAATTCCAAAATATTAATTTTAGTTTTATAGTTTTTTATTTTTAGAACTTAATTTTTTATTTTAAAATTTTTTATTTTTAGATTTAAAATTTTAATTTTTTGTTTTAAATTTTAAAATTTAAATTTAGCTTCTTCGACTAGTCAAAGAAGTAATGTCAATGAAAGACCTGGTTCTTTTGTAATGACTTAAAGAGGGCTCGCGTGATTTAATTTTGAGCCGTAGATTCCATTTTCTTTTCATGTACTACGAGATTTAAAATGTGAAATTGAAAATTTTGGAAATAAAAATTCAATTCAAATCAATATATTTGTGTGCTATCAAACAATAAATTTGAATTAAAGTCTTCAATTTTAATTTCATAACTTGAATTTTGTGTATCGAACGGAACCTTAATATAATTTAAAAGAGAGATAAGCAAGCAATGAATCCAATGATAGGGGTGGGGTACACCCGATTGTATCCCAACATTTATTTAACCATACAAATTTTAAACACTTTAAGATTTTTATTCAAACAAAAAAATTTGTGGTGAGCATAGGTGTGGAGTGCAAATTGGGGATTTTGGGTACCTTGGTGTACCAAAGCATTTTTAGTCAAAAGTAAAACAAAAAATTGCTCCCAGGTACCCTTTATTTTGAAATAAAGACTGGCAGCTCCCATTTTTTTAAAAAACTTACTCATAGGGATTTAAAATATGATGTTTGTGACTGAGGAGGGAACTTCCGTCCATTGCACCGTTAATATTCCTTCTCCGTTATCCTCTTTTTCTTCTTCTTCTTTTTCTTCTTTTCTTCGTTTCTTCTTCTTCTTCTTCTCCTTTTCTTCTTCTTCTTCTTCTTCTTCTTCTTCTTCTTCTTCTTCTTTTCTTCTTTTCTTCTTCTTTCTCTCATTACTTCATATTTTATTAGGTATTGTTCTTTTATTATTTTTTATTATTATAATAATTATTTATTATTATTATTTTATTTTATTAGTATTTTTACTACTATAACTTTTTTATTAGTTTTACTACTCTAAATCTTTAATTGAAAATTAATTTTAGTAATATATTTACGTTTCATTTATAAAATTAAAATTATTTATTCACTTGGTTATAAATTATACGTCGTAATTCATAATAATATTAAATTTAACACTATTTTTATTATTTCATATTATCTTTACAAGACATATTAAATTTAACACTATTTTTATTGTTTCATCTTATTCTTTTCTGAAGTCCTCCTGTTTTCTCGATTTACCATGACATTATTACCAATGACGACTATTAATGACTAATGCGGAGTACTATTCTAAATAATAATGATTGTTACTCCGTATTTCTTAAAAATAGAGAAATAAAATTACTACTCTGCAATTAATTTTTAATAATAATTAAGGAAATAATAGGAAATACATAATATTATCTCTGTCTCGGAGCATATGTCACGTTTTGACTTTTTTCAATCAACTGTTTTTAATTTTTGACCTATTATTAAATAAAACATAAATTGTATATTAATTCGATAAAGTAATATTTTGAAAAATTTTTATATATTAAATCTAATAAAACTATTTTTGTATCAAAATTTAATATTATTTTTCTAATATAGGGTTAAATTTTATCAATTTTGACCAAAAAAAGTAGACAAATACTCAAGAATAGAGGAGTAATTAATATGAAGTAATAATAATAACTAGTGGTATTTTTTAAAAAAAGTACAGAAGTAAAATTACTAATTAATTGCTTAAAATAAATAATAGTATTAATAATAAGTGTAATTTTATAATAAGTGCTATTTTTCTAAATAAAAATTAGTGTTTTTATAGAAAAGAGTGGTAAAACTAACAATTAATTTTTAATAATAATAGTAATAATAATAAATCAAAAAATTAATAATAATAATAATAGAATAAGAAAATAATAATTATGAAGTAATTAATTATAATAATTATTAACAAATAATAATAATTATAATAGAAGAAGAAAAAAACAAAAGAAAAGGTAAAAGAAGAAAAAAAACGGGGGTGGGGGGAGGAATGGAGGTCACTGGAAGGCAGGAGAAAAAAGAAGAAAAGAAGAAAAGAAGAAAAGAAGAAAAGAAGAAGAAGAAGAAGAAGAAGAAGAAGAAGAAGAAGAAGAAGAAGAAGAAGAAGAAGAAGAAGGATTGTCACCTCGGAGTCAGTTTTCGAATATCTTAAGGTACCTCGGAGTATATTTTGAAAAACATTGGGACCTGCCAGTCTTTATCCCAAAAATAGGGGTACCTAGCAGCAATTTTTTAAAAGTAAAATAAGCATTTCCTAACTACTTAAATAATTATCTATTTTTTTAATAAAAAAATTTATGTAAGAAAGTCCATAAAAATGGTGAGAGGATATATGGTACAATCGGTTGTACTTAGAAATAGGTACATACGGATAGTACTCATTCTGAAGTAAAGTAGTACTCATTCTCGCTCAAACATAACTGTTTATTTTGAAATAGCATGGTACTCATTTTGAAATAACGTAGTACTCATTCTGAAATAATGTAGTACTCATTTTCACACATAATTTCATTCAATTATAATATTCATCTACGAATAACATAATGTTCTTTCTGAAACAAAGTGATACTCATTCTCAAATAAAGTAGTGTTCATTCTCAACAAATGTACCGTTCATTCCACCTAGTCTGAATTCCATCTGCAACCCTTCTTCATCTTCCTCCCCCAAAAGCTACCGTTCATTCCACCTAGTCTAAAATCAATCTGCAACCCTTCTTCATCTTCCTCCCCCAAAAACTGAACTATTTTGGACTAAGTTTCTACATCACCAACTTCCGTCATAAACCCCACCAATGGGTTCGATCTGGTACATAATCACCTTCCCCGCTATCACTATCACCTTCGCCACCATCATCTTCACTATCACCTTCGCCGATCTGCTCCCCGCCATCCAATTGCTCTGTACTACCTTCGTTTCCCGATCAGACACACCTAGGGTTTGACTCGCGCTGCTCTTGATCGCTAATTTTTGCCGATTGTACAGTTCTTCACGTAAAGCTAGTTGTAGGATATAATTTGCGAAAAATGGTATCCACTCAAGGTGGACCCTATAAGCACTCCAATTTTTTAAAGAAACAAATGCTTGTCGATCTAATAGCACAGATGGCCCCCGTGGTTTACAAAAGGGGTTTTAAAACTCCCTCTATTTTTAAAAGTTATTTGTAAAACCCCCGTGATTTTAAATAGTGCACGGGCGCCCCCTCTTACTTATTTTTAGAGTTAAAATGACGGTCTTCAAGTTTTACTCTTTTATTTATATTTTGCTTTATTATACAGATAAATAAAATAAAATAAAATATATGCTCTCAATCTCAAATTTAAAATATTCACTTATTTACTTTTCAAAACAAAATAACTTTTTTAGAAAATGTTACAAAAGAAAATGAAAAATAATAAATGAAATTAAATTCACTTCTTTATGATAAGTAAAAGTAATATAAAAAAATAAATAACATATACACACTCTATCTCAAAATGAAAATTTAACTTAACTGGTTTTTAAAAGTAAAATAATTATTTAAGAACTTTAAAAAAATGAGGAACAGAAAGATGAAACAAAATACGGAGCAAAAGAAAAAGATCGATTTTTATTTTTTTCCTTTCTTGGCATTACATTTTTCAACTATTATTTTCTTTTACTTCTTTCATACTAATATTTTATTTCCTTTTTCTACTCTTCATTTTCTTGGGAGAAAAACAAAAATAACACTCTTAGAGCCTTTATATATACTTTAAATAGCAGTGCTATATGTTTCGTATATGTGACTCCGATTGTATCCTTTAATTAAACAACAAATATTCATTACACACTGCCCCAAAATATGATTGTTTTGGGCAGTGTAGTTGTTCATTTGTAACTGTGTAGTAGGCAGTGCAGTTTTTTATATGTGAGTATTTAATGTTGTAGTGTAGAATGGATGTATGTTGTTATATCTTACGGCAATGTGTAAGTGAATTATTGTGTTCCTTGTTTTTATGTTGGAGTGTAATATCCATTAATTTATGTGGCAGTGTTTTCATTTATAAATTCTACATTGTCAAAAAGTGTATGACTATTTTTATGTATGAATTCCACATTTCCCAAAAAATGTAAAGCTTTTTTATGTATGAATTCCACACTGCCATAAATATGCATAAATGTTTTTATGTATGAATTCCACACTGCCCAAAAATGTATGACTGATTTCATAAATAATCTATTACATCAAAATATACTGACCAAACATGGGCGTTAAATATGGAACTTAATTTAATACTACGTATGAACTTGTCTAGGCATTATAAATTGGTAAACTGGGTAGGAAGAGGATCTCACAGAGCTATGGTAAACGGCATAGGATGATGTTTTCGCACGTATGAGACGCACAAATGAGGAGCTGCACATATGAGGAGTAGAATATAATAAAAGGTCGAGGGTATGCCTTGAAGATATTGACACTATAAATAGCTAAATTTGTATAAAAGATTAAGGAGTGCTATATGCGCAATATTGAGTGACTTAGAGTTCTACGTATGGTGATTTCTTCATTTTCTTTTGTAACTTTCTCCAAAAAATCTTTTGTTTTCAAAAATTCATAAATGAAAATTTTAATTTGAGATAGAGAGCGTATATTTTATTTTATTTTTTGTATAATAAGGAAAATAAAAAAGTGGAAATTCAAGATAGAGAAAAAGAAAAGGTACACATAAAATTTTAACTCTAAAACTAGGTAAAAGGGTCGTCTGTGCTATATTTAGAAATTATAAAACTTTACATATACTCCGTAACTTTAAAAAATTAAAGGAGTTAACGATTTTTTTGTAAGGAAAATTTAGGGTGCCACCACATGGGTGCTACCATGGGTGCACTCATGCTTCGCACAGACAAACACAAACGATAATTGTCTGTGTCGCACAGACAATTATCGTCTGTGTTTATCTGTGCGAAGCATGGGTCCACCCATCGTAGCACCCATGTGGTGGCACCCTAGCATATGGTCGTTTTTGTAAACTATAAGGCCACTTATAGAGCCATACTATTAGGACAATGATTGTGAGCAACTCACAATTTAGCGTTTGGGCGAGGGCTAGATTGACACAAGAACAAAAAAAATAAAATAAAATAAAAAATCATGCATTGAAAAAGTACTTCTGGATAAATTCTTAAACAATTTAGGATCTTAAGGGATTCATCATCTCCTGGAATCTATCTGAATCCTTGACGGGAATGTCTTTGCAAATTCTTATTCTTTAGAATGTTCCGGCGATGATCCATCCGACCTGCCTGCTATAGTCTGTCGCCATCGCCCACGCTGATTCACAGTTTCCCAACCTGCGATTTGGATTTCCTTAGGGTAGATGTTCTATTTCCATTTAATCTGCGCGAGTGTCTGCTTCCCGAAGGACCGTTATGATAATCCGGCGAATTTGCGCGCGTTTCTTGCCAATCGCAACCACTTCTCCTTCATTCTGCCGGCATAACCCCTGCCGTCGCGAGATTCCGGCCAGTCGTTGTTTAATAATGGCTGCCCCACCGTCGCCCTCTTTCGCCTCGGGTACTAGATGGGGTTCCAGTAGCTTTTATGTTCGGATGCATTCTCTTGATGTTAGTGGTAGGGGCTGTGGGTATGATAATGGATCTGCTGCTCTCGTGCTCAGGGGTTGTTGCCATGGAAACAGGTCGAATTCTTACCGCAAATGGCCTGCCAATCTCAATTTTTGTGCTGCCACCAGAAGTAGTAGTAGTAGTAGTAGTAGTAGTATGGAAGGGAATAACGATGGTTTCCCAAGGCCACAGGCGGTTTCTCCCTGTTTGCCTCATTTGCTCTGCGATCCAGAGGAGATTCGGCTGGGGGGCGAGGATGAGGTTCCAAGATTTTCCGTTAACAATGATAAAGCTTCTCGCCGAGGAGGAGAAAGTTCGCTTGGATTCTCCGACCGATACTTGTCCAAAAAGTTTGAAGTTGCTGTTGATATAGATGAGGGTAATCTTCTCATCTCGTATGTCACATTTATGTATTGTTTGATTTATTGTTCTACTAGGAGACGCCCTTTTTTACATAAATGTGATTTCAGGTATAAAAAAACCTTCAAATTTGTTGCAGTTGCTTTTATTCTATTCTTATAAACATTTTATTCTTTGGGGTGCAGTGCTCGGAAACTTTGTATCAGCTCTCAACCAGTTTATTGCTGACCGCTACTCATTGAATCATTCAGTTTCTGAATATCATGTATATGAGTTCTTCAAGGTGCCGTGAGTAGCTCTTCAACATTGCCTTTTTATCAAAGCGCTGCTTGTATCGTGTTCATGTATCTATTTATTTTCTCAGAGAATGAAAATGTAACTTCAAATACGTCGCGTAAGGATTGCCTAGGCTTTTAATGAGTTATTCAATCCTCCTAAAAAGTCTTGTGTCTATTAAATGTTGCAAATATGGTATTTCGTTCCATTCAGATAGATTGCTATCCCATACGTTTTCATCTGCTGATTCTGCCATAGAAACTAACTTTGAATGTTCTATCTGACCCACTCTTTTAAATTACAGATATGGAATTGCTCCAGGGATGAAGGTACTAATGATACTAAAAAAACTCTTTTTCTAGCTTAATCCTTCAAACATTTTATTGCGTATGGAATTGTAGCTGCCTTGAAAAGAGATGTGCTTTCTTGTAATTTCTTTCCTTTATTGATTCTCAGCAGTTGAGTACAATTTTCAGTTGGAATGCATTGCTTTCTCAATGTAATAAAACCCCAATTGATTCCTTCCAAGCCTCAAAGGCTCAGAAATTTGCGATCACTCAAAAACTTGTCAGCATGCAAAGTAGCTGGCTAGCTGCATTGACCATATATCGCTATATCTCTCAATGCCCCCATGATCTTGTATTTCCTCATTTCCTGTATCTGAAACACAGTATATAATTTTCTCTGATGTTGGATTTAATGCTTCATATGTTCCATCCAATCAATACTTTTGTTTAATGCTCCATATGTTTTATCAAATGTTTTTAGCAGGGGTCTTCATCTTTAATGTAATCTTTTGTGGTTTATTTTGATATCTTTGCTGAGTTATTTCATTCTGAATTTTGGCATTTTATGTTCGATAAAAATGTGGATTCAACTCATCACCAAAAGGTTTTTCATTGTGGCAGCTGATATTCGTGTTCATGAATTCTTCAAGACTTCTTATTTCAAAACGGGAATACATCCAATTCCTGGGGCTAGGCAAGCTCTGCAAAAGCTGCACAGATTCTGCAACTATTCAATAGTTACGTATGTACTCCATGGCTACCACATGTAGCAGCTCTTTATAGTGAACTCAGTGTTGAGCTAATGATATGACTGTTTGGTTCGTTCTCCTCAGGTCCCGACAAAATGCAATTAAAGACCACACTATTGGGTGGATCGAGAAGCATTATCCCGGTCTTTTCGAGAATGTTCACTTTGGAAATCATTTTGCTTTAAACGGAAAATCCATACCCAAATCAAAAATTTGCAGGTACAGAAAATCAAAATTCCTTTCGCCCTTTCTGTTCCCAGCTTGGTTTCTTTGCTAGTGGGGGCACTCTTTGAGTGCGAGTCAACCTGCAACCTGCTTAGCAACCAAATTTTTTAAATCAAATACTAATCGATTTCAGCAACTACTACGCCTGAATATACGTTGTGTTTACATATATTTTTCCCTGCTTATTTTATCAACACAATATATTTATTTTTTCAAAATTCAGCAACTGGAGCTATTTCAGTCTAAACCGCACCCACTTTTGGAATGGGCTCTTAGCATTGTATATTTTCCTAATGACCCAACTTTTGTGGTAGGTCTGTTGGAGCAAAAGTTTTGATTGACGACAATCCACGATATGCTATAGAGTGTGCTGATGTTGGGATAAAGGTTCTTCTCTTTGATTATGAAAACTCTTATCCATGGTGCAAGACAGAAGTAGTTGAAGGGCACCCCTTAGTTACAAAAGTCCATAATTGGGAAGAAGTGGAGCAACATTTAGAATCATGGATTTTTCCTGAGATCACTGCAAAGTAGTAGGTTCAGGAGATTCGTGTAAATTCTTGCTGTTCTTTTTTTTTTCTTTTACAAGACCCATTCAGGATGGACCCACTTTATTTGCTAATTTTAAAAAGATGTACTTTTACTGTATTTTTTTTAAGAATATGGAGTGGAGTTTATGTGATAAATTTGATTAATCAAAATTAGTTTGGTCAATAAATGGATACAATTGTATTTTATCTTTCAACTGTGTTTCGACTCCATGTAAACACCGCCTCAATGTAAACTACAAATGAAAAATTACTTGCTGGTACATTTTTCTCATTATTAATATCACCGACATTATTACAATCATGTTTACTATTGTTGTTAATGTTTATCAAATTACCAATGACCAATTACATGGTGAAACTAAATCACTCTTTTGTGTTGTCCTAACTTGCAATCATATTGTATCTTTTTTGTTACACCAATTCTTATACTCCATCTTCCTCAGTTCTTCATAAAATTTCATAATGATCCAACAATTGGTTCATCATGAATCATACAACTTAAGTTCTAAAACATATACTCCCTCCTTCCCACTCTCTTTACCCACTTAACTTTTGGCACAAATACCAAAGAGTGGAATAAGAGAGTGGAAAAAGACTAAAATGCCCCTTATGGGCCACGCTGAAGAGAAAAAAAGGGAAAAAAGTGGACAAAGTGAATGTAGAAACTAGAAAGTACCATGACTACATTTTGCCCATCCTTTACATCAGTACACACAAAATTCACACGTGAATTCCAAAATTTGGCTCCCAATCTAAATTTAGAAACATTTTTCCCTCCTAAATTTAAAAGTAGATGACCTACTCTACACATGTGTACTCCGTATAAGTCCGTTTTCAGCATATTCTCTTCACAACTTTTTTCCCTTCTTTGCCCTTACCCTAACAACCTTTCTTCTTTTTGCCTTTTCTTCTTTGCCTTTTCTCCTTTTCTTCTTTCCCTCTGCATATTCTTGTTTGCCTCTTCTCCTTCGTCTTTTCTTCCTTTTCTATATTCTTTGATGGAAGAATCCGAAACATCAAGAAACATAAAAAGGGTAAAGAACAATTGCCAAAGCTAAAGAACATTTGTCATTGCTAGAATGGATAGGAGATTGTACATGAATGGTAATATAGTGGGACAGTTCATGGATGAAGATGATAATGATCTTTATACATGACATGCTTTAGAGGGATGAAGTGTGGCCATTTTTTTGGACAAAAGTAATTGCTAACTTTCATTACAATCAGAAAGTGTAGATTCCAGATGGTATTTTTTGCTTTAAGGAAAGTGTTGTAAGTTAAGCCTTACTTTTGTGAAAACAAGTGTAGTATCTGGAGGGCCTTTTTTTATACAGCATATTTCCTCCGTCCCTAAATAGATTACAATTTTTTTCTCTCTCCTCTCGATAACTTTTATTTGTTTACGCGATTTCATATAAAATAAAATATTCTTGTCACCTCTTGTTTTGTAAAACTTTTGATGTACTTTTTTAATATGTAATTTTTACTCCCTCCGTCCCAGAGTAAAGTGTAATATGTGCAAGTGTAGTAAATTGGTTCTTTCGATGGCTATTTGTACCCAAAAAAACTGTAATATCTGCAAGTGTAGTAAATTGGTAGTACTCCATACTTGTTTTGGGGACAGGAAAACATAGAAAAGCCTTTGCTAAGCACAAACATCCTTGTCTAGAGAAGTCTCTTCAACATTCCCCAATAGGGTGAATGGAGTGACAACAACATGATTTCTATGTGTTGTAAACTACAGTACATTCATCACTAACCACACCCACAAAAATCACAAAGGGACACAAGAAGAACCAAGTGCAGTATCTAAAAAAAAATCCATGGACATTATAATTCCAGTCATATTAATACGAAATAGAGTAATCTAGGGGCAAGATTCTAGGGACATGAACTTCACAGAACATAAAACTCCACAGTGGGTATTCACCAAAAGAAAACCACTAGAAAAGAGTGCATAATTTAGTAAAAAACAGAGTAGTACTTCCTTTGTTAGACATCCCGATTCTCAGACTTAGGCACAAAGCATACTTGGTCCTCATCATTGTCATCGGGATCAACAGGTGGAAGAGTGTGGCATACAACACAGAGTCTCTTCTTTATGCTTGCCACTGACCGGTGCAGGGAAGGCGACTGATCAGAAAGTTTGACCGTCACCACCTTCCCACCGTCATGCTCAGCTGCTGAATCCCTGCCCCCTTGCTTAAACAACAATGGAAGCCATATTTTTAAAAGTGCCTTTGTAGATGGTGCATGGTACTCCGGAGGAACAGTGAACCTTGGATTAATTAAATTCCAGCTTCGCAGCTTCAATAAATGGTTTATTAGGGGCAACAAATTGAGGGGGCATCGATTCACCATCAGAAGACGCATGCAGAGACGGATCAGAATCCTTATCTCCGACATCTAGAGTCTCTGAGATGATTGAGCATAAATCATAATCAGAGAAAGAGGACTCCATCATTTATTTTTCCAGGAAGATCAGATCTAGGCAAGATGATGAGAGAGAACGTGATCCGATCTAAGAAAAAACATGAGAAAGAACGAGATGGGATCTAAGGAAGAAGATAGAGAGAGAACAAGATTGCATCGCCAGAGACGGGTAGGAGTGGATCTAGAAGGATCTAGGCACCGAGAGATATACGGAGTAAATAATGGGTGGATGGGGATATTAATTGAGGGTAAAATGGACTTTTAGAGAAATTTTCCTTACCAAATTAAGTAAGTGGACAAAAATACTGGGACGATCCAAAAAGGAAAAGTGAACAAAAACAGTGGGACGGAGGGAGTATTACGTTTGTTTTAAATTGCAAGCCTCATGATGAACCGACCATTGGATTGTTGTAAAATTTTACGAGAGTGGTCTATGATATTACTTTCCAATCCTACTGTCAGTTTCAACTAAAAATAACTCTTTAGAGCAATATTTCTTACACGGATCTTATTTTCCTCGCGAATTGTTTCAGGCAAAATCGACCAAAAGATTGAAATGTAATACTATGTACGACATAGGTCATCTCTTAAAGTTTCACAACGATCTAACGATTGATTAATCGTGAATCATGCAACTTTATATTTAGATAATAAAATGTGAAAAAATTTAAAATGTACTCCTTTCGTCACATAAAATGCATTAGAATTTCCTTTTTTGGATCTCCCAACAAAAACTTTACACATTACACTTTGCCGTCAAAACTGATAAACTCTAACAATTAATTAAATACAATATTATTATATACTCCGTATTAATACAAGAATAACTTCATTAGATAAATCTCTTAAAATAATTTAAAATTATGGTTTTACTTTGTATCTAATTAATATATCTTGTATGGAGTAATTTTTTATTTAATTATAAGTTAAAGGTCAATCATTGTTGGCTGCAAAAAATTTAAACTAGACAAGTACTCTAAGATGAATGAAGTATTTTGGTAATGAACACGTGGCTCAAATCAATTATCTCTCATCTTAATACTCCCTCCCTCTATTAAATTTTTTATTACTTTCCTTTTTGGGTCCTCCAAAATAATTTTTCCGTTTCTTATTTTGGTAATGAATATATTATACCCCCACTTTTTATGTACACTTCACTTTGGTCAATCAGATCAAGGGCAAACAAGAAAACTTTACACTTTTTAGCCTTTTTTAGTTTCCGTGCCAAGTCAAATCAAGAAAACTTTGCTTTTTAATAATTTTTCAATAGTGGAAAGTCAAACCGTAAGATTTTTAATGGGACATGTGTGACTAGAATGAATATGATATGCGGTTGTGCCACATCACTTACATGAAAAATGGACCGAAGGAAAATATTAGCACTATGTTTGGTTCAAGGAATTGGAAAGCAAAAAGAAATCAAAATGAACTGGAAAACAATTTTTCTTGCTTGGTTAAAGAGGAAAAAATGGAAAAGTAGAAAGAAAAGAAAATGAACAGGCAAAATATACTAAGTGGAATGAAACTTAAATTCCTCCCATTTTGGTGAGGAAATTTGAGAGAAAATTATTCTTTTCTTTTCCTTCCAATTTCCTTGAACTAAACATAGTGGAGTACTCCACTTGGTGATACCAAATGAATACCAAGGCAAAAACAGACACAAAAAAACTCAAGTGAAGTATCCCTAGCAAAACTCATACTACCCAATAGAACAACTCCTTTGATTATCAAGTAGACCAAGAAATGTACCCCAAAATTTGCACTTAATACTAACACTTTGATAGTTTATATTTAAACAAAATGTTAATGCAATCGAATAATTATACACTAGCATCTCGTACTTTTGTAAATCATCACACTAGCATAAAATAAATGTACACACTTGTGTTATACAATTTGAGATACAATTTTTGATGTAGAAGTAGTTTAGTCGTATAGATATTGAAGTAGTTTAATTCATTGATTATTGATACTCAAATTGTTCCTTCAAGCTTGTCCCTCTCGTTACTCTTTTCCTACACTTTCTCATATTCATATTATTATTGTATACACACGCACTAGAAATAATTACTCTCTTCGTATTTATTCATACACTAACCTAACAGTGAAATATTCCTTAGATTTATTTAGTCTTACAGAACTACACAACATTAGAGGGATCAAAGCTACTGTCATGTATCTTCTCCACCAGCTTTAAACCATAAGCCTGCAGAATATCCAACGCTGCAAAATCACAAAATCAGTTCTGTGAATTTATAATATCAAAGTCACACTCCCAGTAGGAAAATACAGAAATGGAAGTGTTGGATTGTGGAGCTTGATGTGATATTGGCTTAACTCCACTATTGGTCCTTCAACTTTATGAGTTGTACACGATTGGTCCTTCAAGTTTCAAAAGACCATAAATAGTCCTTAAACTTTATGAGTTGTGCACGATTGGTCCTTCAAGTTTCAAAAGTCCACAAATAGCCGTTCAAGTACACGTTAGCCCTCCAGATGAGGTCCTTTTGACGGTAAACATTAAAAGCTAAATGGAGTACTAGCTCCATATAAAACGGAGTAGTCGTACTTGGTGGAATTTACTCGTATTATATGGAACTAGTATTCCATTTAGCTTTTAATGTTTGCTGTGAGAAGGACCTCATATGGAGGGCTGACATGTACTCGAAGGACTACTTTTGGACTTTTGAAACTTGAAGAACTAATCGTGCACAATTCATAAAGTTGAAGGACTATTCATGGACTTTT